AATTGCAAAGAGTTTTAGGAAGTTTAAATTATATTGCTGATTTGTATAAAAATTTAGCTTTTGATAGCAAACCTTTATATGAAAGGTTGAGGAAGAATCCTCCTGAATGGACAGATGAACACACTCTGGCAGTCAGGAAATTAAAATTGAAAGCCAAAGAATTGCCTTGGTTGGCTATACCTCATTCGGAAGCATATAAGATAATTGAAACAGATGCTTCTGAAATAGGTCTTGGTGGTCTTTAAAAATAAAGAATGTCATGACAAGAAAAAGAACAACTGGTAAGATACACCTATATGGTTAGGAAGCCAACACAACAAAACTACTCTACTGTAAAATAAGAAGCACTGGCCATAATCCATTGCGTCACTAAATTCGAAAGTAATGTGTTATATAAAAGGTTTCTTATCAGGACAGACTACAAAGTCTGTTAAAGAAATTTCAATAAAAGATGTTAAAAACATGGCATCTAAGCAAATATTAGCTAGATGGCAAGCTATACTCTCCGCTTATGATTTTGAAATAGAGCATATTAACGGATCTAAGAATTCTCTACCTGATTTTCTGACTAGAGAATTTTTGCAAGGCTAATAAAAGAAAGAAGACCTTGGCTAAAATCGGAACCTCAAAGGAAATGGTACCCAAAGAAATAAGATCTCCGTCCTTATGCTAGACCTCAAATAAAGAGATAATAATATCTCACCCTCACTCTAATACCCCTTTAAGGACTCATAATCCCCATAATACTCCCTCAAAATTTACCATTTATAGAAACGTATAATATCTCTCTTATTATAATAGAAAATGATCATTCGGCTAAAACACCATCTGAAATTGCTGCTATATATCTTGAAGATCATATGCACCCAGAATTAGAGGGAAACACCCAAGAGTATTATGAAAATATCCTGACTGAAACTAAGTCTATATTTATACATCATTATTACAGAAATTCTTATGCAATAGCATAATCAAAACTACAAATACTAAAGATTATATCTTATAGAGATTAGGGATTTGATCTTTTAAAGATAAGATATCTGAGCAATAGCGGCCTAAAATTAAGGTCCTACAATTATTATGATTATATTAAAGCCTAGAGCATGATCTTATGCTACCAGAATCCAACTAAGACACATAGTTGGTTTGTACAATTTAAAATAAAATCCTTAAAGGATTTTCCCAATTAGTTTAAAGATGTTCTTCACATGGGGTTCTAAACCAGAAATATTACCGAGAGATTTAACTGAGTCTCAAATGATATTTATTGAATATAATAAAAATAACCCTAAAATGGATATGCACTTATATTTTTTCACCTTATATGAGGTGCCTTGGATTATGAAATGGTCTTATGTGATCTTAGACGATAGCAATGATAGATGGGATTATATCCCAGATTTGCAACGAAAAATATTTGTTCATTAGTGGGATAGATACACCTAACCTTCTCTTAAACCAAAGAAATTAACTCTTAAAAGAGTTCCAAAAAATGATACTCCCGATCCCGAGGAGCTCATTCCTTAAACAAAGAAATCACAAAATGATCTAGTAAAATATGTAGAAGATCTATAGAAACAAATCCTAAAATGACTAAACAAGAGCTAAAAAGTCAACTCCTAATAACCCTGGAGGCCGAAGAAACTGAAGATATGTCTACCTCAGCCGGTTCAGAAAAAGAAGTTAATGAGGAAAGGACTAACAGAGAAATGTTACCCTTTTCTCAACCGTACGAATAGATAATGAGACGGATTGACTCCAAAATATCCAGGACACATGTCCCAGAAGAATCCATAAAAATGGCCAGCAAGAAAGGTGGCCGACCTCAAGAATCTACTATAGTCACTTTCACGTGAACACACTATGGAGGACCTACGGACTTAAGAAAATAATCCACAGACAGCTTTTGCGGACTTAATAAGATTTATAGTCCACTGACACCTTTAGCGGACTTAAAACCTTGTGAAATCCGAGGCCTATAAAGGGGACAGGGCGCCTCCCATCTGGACATCTCAAAGTTTACCCTTTTAGTTTTCCTTGCTTTTCTAAGTTCTCTACATTTTCTCTCTCTGTAACACAATACTATTTTATAGAGAGAGAGAGAGAGAGAGAGAATGCAGAGAACTTTGAAATATCCAGATGGGATGCAACCCATTCCCTTTATAGGCCTCGGAGTTCAACGGGTTTCAAGTCCACCAAAGATGTCAGTGGACTTTAAATCTTATTAAGTCAGCAAAATGTATCGGTGATCTTTAAGTTTTATTAGATCCATAGGTCCTCCATAGTGTTTTCATGTGAAAGTGGCTATAGTAGATTCTTCTGGTCGGCCACTTGTCTTGCTGGCCATTTTTATGGATTCTTCTAGGACACGTGTCCTGGATATTTTGGAGTTGATCCATCCCATCATCTATTCATACGGTCTATTCGTATGGTTAAGAAAATGGCGACATTTCTTTGCTAGGCCCTTCCTCATTATCTTCTTTTGTTGAACTAGCTCAGGTAGACATATCTTCAATTTCTTCGGCCACCAGGGTTATTCGGAGTTATCGTTTTAGCTCTTTTTTAGTCATTTTAGTATTTTTTTTTTAATAGATCTTCTACATATCTTACTAGATCATTTTTTTATTCCTTTGTTTCAAGAATGAGTTCTCGGGTTCAGGAGTATCATTTTTTGAAACTCTTTGAAGAGTTAAGTTCTCTGGTTTAAGAGAAGGACAGGTGTATCCATCCCACCAATGGACAAATATTTTCCATTGCAATTCTGGGATATAATCACATCTATCATTGCTATCATTTGAGATCTCATAAGACCATTTCATAATCTAGGGCACCTCATATAAGGAAACAAAATATAAGTGCATAGCCCTTTTAGGGTTATTTTTATTATATTCAATAAATATCCTTTGAGACTTGGTTAAGTCTCTTGGTAATATTTCTGGTTTTGAGGAACCAATCTTTAAACCAATTGGAAAAATCCTTTAAGGACTTTATTTTAAATTGTAAAAACCAGTTATGTGTCTCATTTTGACTCTGATAGCCTAAGATCATGCTCTAGGTTTTAATATAATTATAGAAACATTTCCCTAATGTGTTAAAGCTTCAAATCAAAAGCCCAATAGTAAGTGAAGTTCATGTGCTTTCCACCCTTCTTTATGAAATTTGAAGTTTTAAGAATATTGTAGATTTGGCGTATCTATGAATACTTCAAAATAAATTGTCCAAATGATGTATTATAAGATACAATATTTTTATGGGATTGCCTACAAAGAAACAATTAATCTTTTGTACAAGAAGGTCACGATCATTCATATTCATTAGATATCAAATTGGATGGATTGAGATGAGTCACGAAGTCCAAGAATATAATATTTTGGAACTGTATCAATTTAATGACTCTCTTGCAACCACCCATTTTAAAATTTAAGGTAAAAAAAAGGACTATGACCCATATACAAAACATAAATGGAGATAATGTATACGAAAAGTAAATAAATTTTTCACTCAAGAAGAGCATGTCTATAAAAATTTAAATAAATCCATGTTTTTTCTCACAATCCATGTTTTTTTTCTCACAACATAAATCCATGTTTTTTTTCAACATTCAAGGACATCAAGATGACGCATCCAGNGTTCCCCAAAACCAAAATAACGTTTAATCAGCTTAGCTTTTTCTATAGGGTGTAAATTTCTTCCAATATAAGAATCCGGTTTCTATAAGGCCAAGCCCGCATATGTAAAAATGTGGGCCTCTTAATAAATCTATTTTTGAGATGGATTTTAAGACAATTTTTAAGGACATGTAATCTCTAAGATGGAGATCATGAATATGAAAAAGTAAAGGAAAAAGTTTATATAAGGTTGCAACCTTAAAATGTAGAACTACGGATGCACCTCAAAAATCCATCAAAAAAGGTTATTTTAGTTTTGAAAAACCATGTGATTGATCATCTTGACATCAAAATGTATGACTTGAAAAAATGTTGGTTTAGTGTTGAAAAACCATGTGATTGATCATCTCGACATCGAAATGTATGACTATGAAAAATAAAAAAATTTCGAGTCTTAAAAATAGTGCATTTTACAACATATTATCTACACCATTCATTTTCAAAATTTTTATATATTTATAGATCTACTTGATTTTAACCATTTTTGGAATTTAAAATTTTTTAATTAGATATAAAAATAGATTTTGAGATAATCCTAAGAACATTTTACGTCAAAATTATATATTATGATAAAATTTAAAGGTGCACATAAGTTGGATTGTTTAAGGTTGCAACCTTATGAAAACCACACCCAAAAATAAATAAATTTTAAAAATTAGCAATAATAATTTTAGTAAGAGAACATTTGGAACATTAGTTTCCATTATTTTTAGATAGAAATACTTGCATCCATCTTTTAAAATGGATGTTTTATACTTTCTGAACCCCATACATAGAAATGCGGTCCTCCCCTAAATCAACCAATTTTTCATAAAGAATTCCCAAATAAAAAAGGAAAACGTTTATATAGAGCCTAGGCTCTAAATAATCAAATTAGAGCCTACTTCAAAACATTCACTAGAATAGGTCATTTTTATACTCGAATATCATTAAATTGATAATCTTGACATCAAGATGCATGGACATGAGAAAAAAATGAATTTCAAGTTTTGAAAATAAGGTATCTTGTAACTTATTTTCGACCGTCAATTTTTTAGATTTTCAAGTTTTTATAGATATGATCGATTTACCCCATTTTTGAAGCTTTAAATTTTATAACTAAAGATTGAAAATATAAATCATATTTCTTTTTAGAGCCTCGGCTCTAAACAAATCGCGCCCAATAAAAAAACAAAATATGCAAACTCGACATAACTGCGACTGAAGAGTCAGTCCCACCAACTCTTACGGTATCATGATGAATGCCTCTCTTGTGATCTTTGGTCCCACCACTACTAAATACTAATAAATTAAATCATTCAAACCGTTCAAAGCCGCCAAGAAAGGTACTGAACCTCTCTCTGCTTTCTCTTAAAATCACCATTTCTGACTTTGCCCGAAATTGGAAGAGATTCCGCAGAGAAAAGAGGAAAGGAAAAAGCCACACTCTCACTCCAAAACACAAATCGCAGTGACTGCTAATAAATGGAAAGTGGAATTCACACGTATTTCATTTACCTAAAAAAATTGACTTACAAAACAAACTAGAAAAGATCTTAATGTGGCTCAAGCAATAGGATGCAGCCTCTGTATTTCTGAAGAATCCTTCCTCTTTTTCAAGACAGAGGTAAAGCTTTGCCAAATTTGCATGCAAACTTTTCAGTTCCTTTTGATCTATTTGTATCTTATCTAAGGGCTATTGTTTCTGGGCAAACCAGTCTAGTTTTGACTTGGATTTGCAATTCCTTTTGATTCTGCAGAGTCTAGAGCTTCTTTTTTCGTTTTTAGTCAGTCCCTCCGGGGAACTGTGGATTGAGTTTCAAACGACATAATTTCTTGAGTTTCAAACGTCATGATAAAACTGTCATCCTTTGTCTCTCACACCGATTACTTTTGCTCTACCTGCCTTTTGATAACATGGTGGTTCAAGAGCCACATAATTTCTAGCTTTATATTTACTTTTTGCTAAGTCTCTCATACTCTTGAGTTAAAAAGTTTCATGGTTAGGGCATCATGTGTGCTGCTGTGCCACTTTATAAGCAAGGATTTAGATTTTTTTTTTTTGTCATCCTTTGTCGTTAGTGCTGATAACTTTTGCTCTACCCGCCTGTCGATACCTTGGTAGTTCAAGAGGCTACTGAATTTCTAGTTTTATATTTACTTTTTGCTGAGTTTCTCATACTCTTGAGTTAAATTTCATGGTTGGGGCATCATGTGTGCTGTTGTGCCTCTTTATAAGCAGGCATTTAGAATTATTATTATTTTTTTTAATTTCTTGTTTATTGTAAGTTCTCCTATATTGTCCACTTTTGACCACTTTTTTAATGATGTTAATGCATTTTCAATGGTGGTGTATTAGCTATTGTTTGATTTGTCTCTTGTTCATTCCTTCTTCGCATATGTCCACCTGGTTGTTAGTAGTCAGCTTAATCAAGGGTAACGACTATGGCTATTCTCTTTAACCATTGGCAACACGTGAAAATTTATATCAGTTATGTGTGTCTACTTTCACTGATCAAAGCAACTATACTTAGTGTACTCTTGGTTTCTGCAGGGGTTTACATGGTTTACAAATCAATAAAATACCAGGTTAATATTTTTTTTTGTTGAAAACACTGTTCTCCTTGGGCTACACACACACACACACAAATACGATAAGATTATGAGACCGACCATCCTGCGGAGCAGTATAGGCCAGACGTCCTAGATTGAAGGACAGAAGGCAGTCTGGACAGCCTATATTCATTGAAATGACATGCACATTTGGCCCACACTTTTGGTGTGTATCCATTTTTTATTTGGAGCACTTAGATGAGGCATACATGTGTGCAAAAATTTTGGGTTGTTGCGTCCTTATTCAAATGCAGTTCCCTTCAAAAAATCCATCTTAATGATGGATTTGAGATCTGAAACATATCCAAGGAGCAGTTTCTATCAAATCTTGCCATGTAATTTTTGCCACTCAAGGTGAAGAGTGACGGCTTAGCACAAGTCATTCCATAGTTATGTGAAGGAGATGAGTTCATGATGCAATTCTTCTAGTTGTGGTTTTAATTACTTTGCTTTAGGTCGATATGGGAGATATGGATGTTATTGAGGTCATTGGCGATTTTTATAGTTTTTTATCTGACTAAGATGTTGGATCTGAAAACGAAATGTCATTTTTTCAGGGACATGCTGCACTTCATATTTATGTGTTTTTATTGCGTAGCATTCCTCCTTTTCTATTCTGGTATTTCTTATTCGTATCGTTTATATCTGCATCCATCTCACCAAAAGCATATCTATGTGCTTTTGAGTAGCAAATTGTAAATTGCTTGAGTAGTTCATTTCTTGTGCTAAATCATTAATGAATTATGTCTTTTGTCTGGTTTCATTTATATTTAAATTGCTTTTCTTTGTTTTTCAATTATACCCACTTCTAATCTTTTGCATGTTTGGCATAGTGTGACACTCCTCTATTTTTGAGGTAGCAGATATGTTTGAAGATGGATTATTAAAAACTGCTAGTGTTGTCGGCTACTGGTTACATATTCTGCCAAAGTGAAAATATTTACTCACATCACATGGAAAAATGTAATGGCAGGAATCATGCACAGGTTGTTAGTTCTCTCAATCATTTTGCATTCTCTTAATTCATTGCAATAAGATATGGATTTGACTCATTTTGGCTCTGTACGAACATCAGAAATTGTCTGATATCATTGTTCTGACTTCATGCCTGCAGCTTCCATAGAAAGAAATCTTCTGAGTCTCCTAGGTTGATTGTAGCTGTGCTATGTGGAATTTTCATGGGATTTCTTATTGGTTCTTCAATTCCAAGTATTTCAATTTCCAAGGTTGTCCACCTTGACCTTCATATACACTATCATTTAATTGATGTGTTTGTTAACAGGGATTTGAAATGGGCTTCTTTCGTTTTACAGGTTGATCTTTCTCCTCATCATGGTCATGTTGAGGGGATGAGTTCTATGTTGTCCACATACTTTCCTTTGAACTCACAGAATGCATCATTATTTACTTCTGGAACTGCCAATTCTCTTCCAGCTTCAGAGAGAAATAGAACAAAGGTATTCGCCATTTCCTATAGCTTTGCATGACTGTACCAATGGAATGTGCAACGAATTGATCGAACTTCTATCCTTTCGTGTCTGCAGCAATTCTGAATCTCAGGGGACTCCTGAACTTCTTATTGCTGAATTGTTTAGCGTTATTTAAAGAATTATCGTTGTTTTGTATGATAATATAGGGGCTTAGCTTTCGGAAAACTGGGATAGCTAGTCATAAGATCCTGCATATTTAGCATCAAGAACAAACAGCATGGTGCCCAATTCACCAAGGGTTATATGCACCCTTCGAAATTCCCTACATGATAGTCTAGAAGAGCAGAATTTCGACAAATCATTACGTAGACCCTGTGCTACCACAGTGGCATCTCACAAAAGTATATATGTTAGCTTATCCACTACATCATTACTAGTGGATGCCTTCTGATACACAACAAAGATTTCATGCCCTAATTGCATCTTGAACATGGAATCCTTGCTTTTTCCTAGAGAGAATACACCTAATGTTTGAGTTGCATTGTAAAATTTTAATGGAAGCACAAGGTTCTTCCTAATTAAGAGGCCATCTAGCATGCATTGCATTTCATCTATCACTCTGTTTGGGTAATGATCGAAACTAGTCTTCCATTCCCACAATCATCTCCAGTATTTCCTCCACCTCTCCATTGTTTGAAGCTCCCTTGTGTTGCACCTTAACATCATGTGCAACTGGTCTCGATTTCTGCACTGACTGAAATAGCTTTGGGTTCTCTCAAAGTTTTTGCTTCTACTACCAGTTTAGACATCATAAGATACATTATTAATAAAGATTATCTTCATATCAAAGTTTGATGATTGTTGCTCTCCCCTATAATATTGAATATTGTCCATTTAAAATGGTTAATTTTGCAAATCCAATAGTACAGCTTGGCCTTTCCACAACAATATGAGATGGTAATGAATGGTGTTCATTACGAGAATCATTAGTGGCTCTTACCAGAGCATTTGTTCTGTTGACCTTTTCGCCACCACTTTATTTGAGCAATCGAGATATAAGGACTTTCCTTAAATGCCCCAATATAGCTATGGCTACTGACAATCAAGAGAATGTTCATAGAAGTACGCATTATCTTGTGCATTGACATGTGTTCCTAACTTCCTATATATGTATGGCTCTGTGTGTGTGTGTCGGTGAGTCTAAGTAAATATATATTCTCTCTCTCTCTCTTTATATATATATATATATTATATTCTCTCTCTCTCTCTCTCTCTCTATATATATATGTATCAGTGAGTCTAACTTGGATGCACTCTAGTTACTTGGGCTCAATAGCTTGCCGAGCCCAAAATTCCCCCAAACTTGTCTGGGGATCACTGTTGTAAGACTCATCTAAGTTACTAGCAACGCGGCTAGTTTCCGACTCACTTAGTGAGTCTATAGGAAATTGTCGACTTTGATTAAAATTCAGTTTAAAAGGGGAAAACCGTCCCCTCTTTCTTCCATCTTTGCTCTCGTTTGAGCTCAGTCTGATCTCAAACTTTAAGCCTAGGCCTCTTCTTCCATCATTTATCGACTGAATACTTTAGATTTGGTTTAACAAAAGAAAGCAATAATCTTGGACTCGAGAGATTTTTAATTAAATTAGGATTTTGGCTGAAGTTGATTTCTTGTGAAATTTTTGCCACCCTAGCTCGATCCACCCTTTAAATTTCTTCCTAAGCTTTTTTTGGTGTAGTTAATTAAATCCCATGCTTAGTTCCACAAAAAGTATTCAAAATCTTGGATTGGGAGATTTTGAATGTTGAAATTCGATTTGACTGAAAGCTTCGTGGGGGTATAATATCAACGAAATGAGCTTTTCATCACTTTTCATTTTGTATGTAGGTTTTCTTAGTTGATTAACTTTGCCTTAGCCTGTTTCAAACCGGTCATGCCAGTCCCAAGCTTGGGTAAAGAAGGAGGGATGTATTAGGCAGGCAACCATGGTAAAACTTTGCCAAAGTTTTCTTTGAATCTTGAACCTATGTTATATGCTAATGCTAGGGCGTTCCTTGTAAGCCATGTGCTGTACCGGCACCTAGTATTTGGGGGTATTTTTTCCCAAATAAAATATCACCAAACTCAAGAAGTGGCGATATCTTGCAGAATAAATTCCCAACACAATGACTGTACCCAAAGAACCAATGGAAGTGGCTATAGTGGGTAAAAAGCATTATCATGATAAATAAAAAGATGAAATGTCCCTTAGATATGATGAAATAAAGCTCCCTGCCAGAAATGAGGAAGATCTGAGCCTAATCATACCCAAATCAGCAATCAGACAGTCTAAAAAGAGACATGGTCAAACTGTAATCAAAATGAGACTAAAATGATAATGCGACAGTTCAATATTTAATCTAAGGTACCCTAAGGCTACTCTCTGAAACGGCCCAATCCGAGGTCGGATGACCAAGATATGGTCCGGCGTAGCTCAACGGTCCATTTAACAACATTGATCTAAGGCCAATTTACAAAGCTTTCTCAAGATATACAAAGATAAATGGCCTAACAACTTTTTGGGAGGAAGATATCAAAATAGAAAGTCTATGGACCAAATTTGAGCCCAATTTGACATTGGATGAAGGAGAAATGGCCAATGTCTTTATCCGTAGGTAGGGTCCATCTAAATTGGTCCAACTGTAAAAGAGGAACCCAATAAATAAGTGGCCAATGAGCTTCAAATTCTTCTAAGATGAAGGTGATGATGAGGAGCCCTTGACAAAAAATTCAGCCAAATTTGATATCCAGAAATGTCTTATCCAGGATCATCTTCAGTGCACCGTAGGGGGACCACGCAGAAAAGAGGAACAGACTATACTCTATCTGTTGTTCATCATCTTTATTGGAATTACAGCAAGCAATGAAATTTTTTGCAAAAATTCGGGGGTCATATTTCCGAATTCCTATAGCAAAACAAGCTCAAATTTCAGTATGTTGTTCCTTGCAACATGAGTTCTTCATCCATATATGGATTACTAGATTCATCCACTTGAATCGAGGTTGAATCGAGTCAAAAATGTTGGAGTTTTGCAACAAGTGATGTGTATCAGTCCCCATGACCTCCACTCACTCTCGGAGCAATATCTCACAATCCGTATGGCGTTTCAAGCCAAATTTTGGCTGGAAGCTTCCTAACTCAGAGATGAACTCATCCATATATATGGAAATACACGATCAAGTTCCAATTAAGGGAGCGAATCCTAGTGAGAAATTGCCTTAATTTTTCAGACTACGGTTTCCAAAAGTAGAAAGAAATAAAAGAGTCATATTGCTCCAATTTGACATCGTCTTGAGCCGAAATTTTCACCAAACATCTGTCTCAGCATCCTCCATAAGAATCTGCTAGTTAATCATCAAATAACGGCCAAATTCGAGTGCAAGGATGAGGTTTAGATATGGGTATGCAATTTTTACCTGAAATGGATAACCGCAGCTCAAAATTAGCAAAACTTGATGTATTGAGGACAGTTTTCACTCAAATTTGCTGCAAATCAATCATGGTTGTTTCGTCTACAATTTTATAAAGAAATTTGGGTCGAAATGGTGGAAAAAGGGTCCGACTCGATGGGTTTTGAGCTGGAAAGTTCGTGAGCTCTTCGTCAGGAATTCGGAGGGTACACGGGCCTCTTGTGAGCGGTCGGCTTCTTTAGTCATTTGAGGTTCCGCCTCATTTTAAACTGTTAGCACGACTAAGTCTCGATGAGAGGGCTTCCCCGGTACCAAATACGGTGGTCTAAGAGGGTCCAGATTCTGCCGAATTCGAGAGCAAATGTCCCCCCTCCTCTGTATTTACTTCTCATAGCAATAAAGTTGTCATTTTTTGTTGTGGGCTTCTAGTCTGCATTCGCTTTATCAGGGCATAATCGAGTCACAAGAGCGCACACATGCACGTGATTCGAACTGTACACCCACGTGCAGTGAGAAATGAGCAAGGGTTAGCTAGGTTGTTCTCTGGAAGTGACGCTCTGCAACAACATTCGGTGGTGGTGATATGTAGGCAAGGGTTTCTGTGTCATTCTGGACAAGTGTGGGTAAAGAAGCTAGTTTGTGAGAATAAAATTCGTTTAGATACACGAAATGTAGGAATGACAACAAATAAGAGTACAAAGTTAGTGCATACAATAAGACGGAGGTTAGCATAGCTTGCCTATAGGAAACTATGCGAAAAAAGGAAAGCGAAGGAAATTGATGGATGTAAGCTTTCGTATATAAGAAATGATAATAATAGAAATGGCATAGTGTAATAGTAGACAAAGATTTAAAGGGTAAAATTGTTAATTTCAAGAGAGTCAATGATAGGTTCCAAATAAATAAACTTCTGTTAGGGAAGAAAATAACTAATGTAATTATTGCTTATACCGCCACGGGTAGGACTAGACGATGTAATTAAGAGAGAAATTTGGGAGGATTTGGATGGACTAGTTTAAGAAATACCAAATAGAGGGAGGAATTTTTTAGGAGGGGACTTAAATGGTCATGTAGGAAAAGATAGTAGAAGATATGAAAGAATACGTGTGGGATGTGGTTTTGGGGTAAGAAATAAGATGGGTGAGGCTATTCTGGATTTTTCTACGGCTTATGACCTAGCAATAGGAAACACTTATTTTAAAAAGCAAGATGAACATTTAATAACCTATAAAAATAGATTATATAAAAATAGGTAGATAGACTTATTTCTAGTTGAGAAGATAGATCACTTATCATGTAAAGATTGTAAGGTTCTCCCATGAGAGTTTTAACCACACAACATAGGCTTGTGGGTATGGATGTGGAAGAGGAGTGAAATTAATAGGTGTCAAGAGCTAAGTAGTGGAATTTAAAAAAGGAGAAAATGGACTTATTTTGAGATAAATTGGTGAAAGAAAGAAAATGAAATTCTGTGGGTGAAGTAAATATTATGCGGAATGAGATGGTTGACTGTATTAACAAAGTGGAAAAAGGTTTTAAGAGAAACTAGAGGGAAAAGAAATTCTGATAAGGAAAC